TCTATTAATCGGCATGTCGGTTGACGGAGACAGGCAGCTCGCGATTACTTCTCTCCGCCTGTTGTTCCTATTCCTCGTCGTCCAAGGGCGATGTGGGGAGAGAGGATTCTGGTCCTACGATGTTTGGTGACCAGCTTCGTGGGATCGAAGAATGTGCAGGGAGCCCAGGATTACTGTCTTCTGCATTCCCATTATCACGCTTTACGCCTGCTTCTCGGGAATGTCCAGCAGCTGTAGTTGGCGTAGTAAAGATGGATAAACCCCGCTTATTACACCGATTATTGTTGGAATAAAAGAAATCGTATAACGTGAGTAACACTCGTTTTCTTCATATTTCTCGATAATCCTATTTTCAGCCGGACAGGACATCTCGATGACCCACAGAATTGAGAATAATATTGCCATATAATATGCCGATGATATTGTAATTGGTAATGGCGTGCTCAGTTGGGAATCGACATCCTGATAGTTGTAGAATGGCTGATGAGCATGTTGCTTTGTTGAATGTTGAGAAACCTGTGGAATGACAATGTGGGCGTATCTGTTTAATGTTCTCAACTGTCCCTCAAGCAAGGTATTGCAATTTATCCGCAATTATTCTCATATTTAGGGTTAAATTTTCGCAATTTTCTGCCACATTTCGACCTACAATATCAAATTCATCTTCGGCTCGTGAATTTTGGAGTTTTTCTCCAACGACTTGTAGAATACTATCACTGTCTATTTTACTTTTTTTTGCCTATGTGGTTTGTTTGTAGATGATTTTGATTATATAGAGGTAGCTGATGAAGGTGTTGGTGGCATATCTGGCGTAGAAGGATGTGGGATATCTGTTTCAATATCATCGACATCAGCATTTTTATTCTGCAAAAACAGGATGATTTACATAGTAAATTATATATTATACATAGTAAATTGTTAATGTCTTTTTTCACTTACTCCTGTCTGCCTAGTCATGAAATCAGGGTCATCGGTTGCTATGCTGTTTCAGATTTCGCGCAAAATCAAGGTCAGCCATATCGTATTGTGCCATGTCTAGACCTGACACACTTTACAGTATTTAGATAGCTTTTGCCGAATTTTGACTTATTTTTTTTGTACCGTCTTATTCTCCGGATTCTTGACTTTGTGTTTACTATTGGTTTCAGCCGTAGTTTCGCGTGTATCGGTTGTATTATTGAAGTTTAAATATTGTCATAGTGCGGATCTTTTCCTGATTTTTGTCTAACGCGTATCAAGCCGTGCCGTTGTGCACGGGTTTTTCTTCCGACAGGTTTACATGAGGAGACCTGTCCATTTCGGGGTGGAACGGGCAGCATGTCGGGCGTTGCCTTTCTCAGCATTGAGAATGTGAGTTATATATTTTTATCTTTTTCTTGTCAACAATGAATTGGTCCAATTGCCAAAAGGCGATCACTTCGGAGTCGTCCACGACTCGTGTCAGGGCCGTCTGCACGTTCATTGTGTCGGTCTCACGGAGCGTGATTTTGTTATAACGCGCCAGAAGTCGAAATCCATCAAATTCGTCTGTAATTCCTGTAACGGGAATATGTCCCATCTTAAAAATATATAAGCTTTATTGTCAACAATGAAAGCTGAATTCGCGGTGTTTGTTGACAAGCTGCGTGAGGACTTATGCGAGCAGTTGCGAAGTTTGCGTGAGGATCTTGCTGGCCAGCGGTCGAGTGATTCTGACTATACCACCCAGTTATAATGTCTTGTCTTGTTATTACCAAAATGTCAATTTCTCTTCTGAATTCATTGTGTGAGTCTTGTTTTGATGTTGTGGCCTTATCGGAGACTTGGCTATCCGATGATATTTTTGACGCTGAATTTTGTCCCGATGATTGGATTACGTTTTGGAGCGATCGTAATTTTGCTGCGCATGGCCTATCTAGGAGGGTGGCGTTTTGATTTGTCTTAAGAACACCTTAAAAGCAAGTCAGCTTGATCTCTCTGATTTATCCAAAGTGGTACCAGTAATTGATGTGATAGGAGTCAACATTCAGGGTGTACGTGGGAAAATAATATATGTATTTGCTTTATATATACCACCTTCTGTCACTTTTGATGCATTTGAACTATTTTTTGACACGTTTAATTCGTTTGAATATCTGGCTAATCAATGCGTTGGTCTTCTTGGTGATTTTAATGTCCCTTCCTATGCTTCCATTGGTACCAATGATCGATTTAAAACTACCTTAACAAATTTCCGACATTTCCATGATTTTCGCTTGCAAGAAAACCTGATTCTTGTTGAGCATTGGTGCCTTAGCAACCGTTTATCACCTAATATTTCTTAATGTTTTACCATGACATTTGCTAAAAAATTAAACACAATTGACTGTGCATATTACTTGGCCAATCAACCGTTGATGTCCGAACGTAAGTTCTCTAACCTTGGGGTACTGTTTGACAGTGGACTGACTTTTAACGAACACATTCTTAACATAGTTGCTAATTGTTATGAAATTTACGGGTTTATTGTTCGAAACTGTAAGGGTCTGTCCATCAGATGTTTATGTACGTTGTATTTTGCGTTGATTAGATCGCGGTTAGAGTATGCGGTAATTGTTTGGTATCCGTTCTATCAGTTTTACGCGAATGCGCTTGAATCTATACAAAAGACATTTTTAAAGTATCTATGCTTTCGACTGGAACGTGTTTACCCGCCTAGGGGTGCAGATTACGCGTTTCTCCTTTCGCGGTTTGGTTTTCTTTCACTACAACAGCCTAGAGTTGTTTACATAGTTAAATTTATTCATAAACTGTTGCATTATGATATTGATTGCGGCTGGTTGTTGGAAAGGTTATCCTTTCTTGTACTGCGTCTCAACGCACGCTGTCCCCTCACGTTCTATAATTGTCGTAGTAATAGTAACACTTTACGAAAATCTCCTGTCTCGTTAATGTCCGATTCCGGCAATCAAGTTTCGCCGCATTGCGATATGTTTTTTGATTCCTTGAACACGGTGGTTGCGGTAACCTTATATCATTTCGGCATGCAGTAGATTGTTAGTTATGATTACGATTAGTTTATTAGGTTATATTAGTTTGTATTTTTGCTTATAGCTATATCTTTTTCATTTAGTTAATTTAAATATTGTGATGTTATATTTTTTTTTCCTGTAACTTGGTGGTACCTGTGTGAAATAAAGTCCTATTATTATTATTATAAACAATTATTTTCATCAAAAATCGCAATAAATCGTTGTATTAACAAATTTTTATAAAATTATCAGGATTTGCAATACAAATTATCGGCTTTCCAATGAAATAAACGGATTTTAAATAATAATTTTTATAAAATTATCAGGATTTGCAATACAAATTATCAGCTTTCCAATGAAATAAACGGATTTTCGAAATATCTTTTAGTTTTTGAGATATTAACTTTTAAACATAACATCTTGTTTGGATTCATTTTGATCGATTTTAACCCAAATTAAAATTAAAACTCTAAACCGAAAGTAACCGTCTCCCGATTATTTTCAACATTATCGTGTTTGGATTCGTTTCAAAGAATTTATCGCGATTAAGAATTAAAAAGAGGCTAAACAAAAATATTCTAAACATTCTAGTTTATGATATCATATAAAAATTATGACATAATATTAAAATTTTCAAAAAAAAGTTTATTAAAGAGGAAGCTGTCAAATTTATGAATCAAAAATTATACGAAATTTTCCAAAAATAATATCATCTGTAATTTTAAGAATCATGATATAATACGTATGTTCAATTACAGTTTAAACATTCTAGTTTATGATATGATATAAAAGTTATAAGTTAATATTATTAAAATTTCCTGGAAAAAGTTATTAAAGAGGAAACTGTCAAGTTTAGGAATCAAAAATTTCTAATTTTCAAAAAATCATATCATCTTTGCTTTTAAGGTTCATGATATAACACGTATCTTGTATTGAAAATAATTGTTACTCCAAAAAAATAAAAAAACGCATTATTACCTTTATAAATTAATATCTCAAAAACTAAAAGATATTTCAAAAATCCGTTTCTTTCATTGGAAAGCCAATAATTTGTATTGCCAATGCTGGTAATTTCATAAGAATTTGTTAAAACAACGATTTATTGCGATTTCTTGAAAATGTTGTGATATTAATTGTTCTCGTTATGTTTAAAAACTAATTTTTCAAAAACTAAAGCATGTTTTGAAAATCCGTTTATTTCATTTCATAGCCAATAATTTGTATTGCAAATACTGATAATTTCATAAGAATTTATTAAAACGATTTGTTGCGATTCCTTGAAAACAAGTGAAAAAAATTGGTTATTCCGAAAAAGATGAGAAAACGCCTTGTGTTAAAAAGTTAATATCTATCTCAAAAACTAACAGATATTTTGAAAATCCGTTTCTGTCATTGGAGAGCTTATAATTTATACTGCAATTGCTGATAATACCGTAATGATTTATTGAAATCCCTATTTGTTATGATTTTTTGAAAATTATTGCAAATAATTGTTTCTCCAGAAAAATGAGATAGTGATGATATAATATAAAAATTATAAGGTAACATTATTAAAATTTCCAGGAAAAAAATATTAAAGGGGAAACTGTCAAATTTATGAATCAAAGATAACACAAGATTGTCAAAAAATCGTGTCGACCGTATTTTTAAGAATTATGATATGATATGTATGTCTAATTGATGCCTAAACATTCTAGTTTATGATATGATATAAAAATTATAGGATAATATTATTAAAATTTCCTGTAAAAAATTATTAAAAGTTAAACTGTCAAATTATGAAAATTATACGAAATTTGACAAATTCTTTTATAATTCTTTTTCCTTCAAATTTCGATAATATTATCTAATACTTTTTATATCACATCATAAACTAGAATATTTAAGCTTCAATTTAACATATATATCATGCTTCTTAAAAATACAATTGATACGTTTTTTTTGAAAATTTCCTATTATCCTTTAGTAATAAATGTATCAATTTCTTCTTTAATAATTTCTTCCTCGAAGAAAACAAATCGACGGGGCCGAAAACGTTTTTTGGAGAGTCTCAGCTCACAATTATTTCCATCTAGCTGATAACTTTAGGATGTTTTATTTCCAATTAGGATTTCAAAGTGTTAAGTACGTCGATTAAAAAAAAATTAACACATGTATTACAATTTTTTTTATAGAGAATGGAGAGTTAGCCACGCTTTAAGCCACCATTTATTTCCAAACACCATAATCGACATGGAGATGCACATTTTTGAGCCACTAGCAACGTATTTTCCAAAAATTAAATCTTTTTTGAAGCGTTATTTACCCTGGTTGGTTTCACCATTGATTTAGTGTTTAGTTTTTCATGGCAGTTTCTTTTTAAGACTCCGCGAATTCTTTAAATACAACAAAAAAGAATTTAATATTTCCGATTTAATTCCATTTTCTTTACCGATTTTTCTTGTAACTTTCTCAAATCAACCAGTAATAACTTGTTTTTATTTTTGGACTTGTATCATTTTATCCGATTCGTTTATTTTCGCTACCATTGGAACTAATGCAGCACATCATGCTCCTGATATCTTCCATGATGGGGATGCTGCGAGGGATGAAAAAGATTTTGGGATAGCTCAATTAGATGCAGTTATCGATCGCGAGGAGATTTTGGGGTCGCATTTATGGACTTTGACCACTTTTGGGCAACACGCTCTTCACCATCTTTTCCCAACGATCGATCATGGATTGTTGAAGTTTATTTATCAGGTGTTTGAGGAGACCATGAATGAATTTGGCGTCGGTTTGAGATTATCAAATAGTTTTAAGTTGATGAAGGGGCAATTTAGACAAATTGCTAAAGTTGAACCGAATTTAATTCCTCCTGGATTGGATTTAATAAAAAATAAATAAAAATTTTGTGAAATTATATCTTATTTTTGTGTGCACTCTACAGAAGTATTTACTTGCCAATCGGATTGATTTACTTGACTTTTGAGATATCAACCTTTTAACAGAAGTCATTTTCTCATCTTTTTCGGGATAAACAATTATCATCATTCATTTTCAAAAAATCGCAATAAATCGTTGTTTTAATAAATTCTTATGAAATTATCAGCATTTCCAATACAAATTGTTGGCTTTTTAATAAAAGAAACGGATTTTCAATTAATTTATCTTTTAGTTTTTGAGAAATTAGTTTTTAAACATAACGAGAATAATTAATATCACAAAATTTTCAAAAATTGTTGAAGAAGAAATTGTCATATTTATAAATCAAAGAGAGTACGAAATTTTCAAAAAACCATATCATCTGCATTTTTAAGAAACATGATATGATTTCTATGTTGAATTGAAGCTTAAAGATTGTAGTTTGTGATATGATATAAAACTATGACATAATATTAATGAAATTTCCAGGAATAAATTATTGAAGAAGAAATTGTCATATTTATAAATCAAAAAGAGTATCAAATTGTCAAAAAACCATATCATTTGCATTTTTAAGAAACATGATATAATTTCTATATTAAATTGAAGCTTAAAGATTGTAGTTTGGGAATAATTAAAGAATACCTGTCTCACTTAAAAATCGATGATTTTTTTTTAATCGGTAGGAAATGACTCAAAAGATGTGTTAATGATAAAAAAAAGTGCGGAAAAGTGTAGTACTTACCGAAAAATCACTTTAAAGTTGCGATTTGACGTTTCTTTTTGGAAGTTCAAAGCAATGTTAAATATGCATTTTCGTATTAAATCCTAACCTGAAATTGTTTAATCTATACCCGCGCACAAAATAAAAAGTTATTTTCACTAAACTTATTGAGATTACAACATATTTACGGATGAAAACCTTATTTCTTAGGCTATCAATGCATAACGACAATTACCTGTCGTTAGATAGAATTGTTTCTACCAAATGTGGAATGTGATATGATATAAAACTATGAGATAATATTAATGAAATTTCCAGGAATAAATTATTGAAGAAGAAATTGTCATGTTTATAAATCAAAAAGAGTATCAAATTGTCAAAAAACCATATCATGTGCATTTTTAAGAAACATGATATGATTTCTATATTAAATTGAAGCTTAAAGATTGTAGTTTGTGATATGATATAAAACTATGAGATAATATTAATGAAATTTCCAGGAATAAATTATTGAAGAAGAAATTGTCATATTTATAAATCAAAAAGAGTATCAAATTTTCAAAAAACCATATCATCTGCATTTTTAACGTACATAATATAATTTCTATGTTGAATTGAAGCTTAAAGGTTGTAGTTTGTGATATGATATAAAACTAAGAGATAATATTAATGAAATTTCCAGGAATAAATTATTGAAGAAGAAATCGTCATATTTATAAATCAAAAAGAGTATCAAATTTTCAAAAAACCATATCATCTGCATTTTTAAGGAACATGATATGATTTCTATGTTGAATTGAAGCTTAAAGATTGTAGTTTGTGATATGATATAAAATGTTGAGATAATATTAATGAAATTTCCAGGAATAAATTATTGAAGAAGAAATTGTCATATTTATACATCAAAAAGAGTACGAAATTTTCAAAAAACCACATCATCTGCATTTTTAAGAAACATGACATGGTTTCTATGTTGAATTCAAGCTTAAAGATTGTAGCTTGTGATATGATATAAAACTATGAGATAATATTAATGAAATTTTCAGGAATAAATTGTTGAAGATGAAACTGTCATATTTATAAATCAAAAAGAGTACGGAATTTTCAAAAAACCATATCATCTGCATTTTTAAGGATCATGATATGATATATATGTTAAATTGAAGCTTAAAAATTGTAGTTTATGATATGATATAAAAACTATGAGATAATATTAATGAAATTTCCAGGAATAAATTGTTGAAGAAGAAATTGTCATATTTATAAATCAAAAAGCTCACTTAATGATAACTGTCAAGTTGATTCTATTTACACAGACTTCAGTAAAGCATTCGATAAGATCGATCATAATATCTTAATTTCCAAACTAGTAACTTTCCCGTTGCCTGGTTCAATCATTGCTTTGTTAAAATCATATATTTCGAATAGAAGCCTGCCTTCTAGTTCGTTTATTTGACTGTATTTCGAAATCTCGAGCTGTTACGTCTGGAGTACCCCAGGGGAGCCATCTCGGCCCGTTATTATTTGTAATTTACATTAACGACATTGGATCGTGTTTTATGCATTCCAGTTTCTTATTATATGCGGATGATTGCAAAATTTTTTCCTCTATACGTACAGTTGCTGACTGTATTAAATTGCAAAGCGATCTTTATCGTTTTAACACTTATTGTTCTATGAACAAACTTCTTCTAAATTATGAAAAATGCTCCAAAATTTCTTTTAGCAGAAAAAGATATAACATTGATTTTTCATATCTGCTTGGTGTTGAATCTATTAAATGTGTTACTTCTATCAAAGACCTTGGTGTGATGCTAGATTCAAAACTCTTATTTTCAGATCACATTGAGTATATCTTTTTCAAAGCTATGAGACAATTGGGGTTTATTCTAAGAACTACCTATGTCTTCTCAAATCTTGATTGCTTAAAATCTGCTTATATGGCATATGTTAATAGTATTCTATCTTTTTGCTCGGTGGTTTGGAATCCAATGTATCACATATACATTGACCGTTTGGAGTTGGTTCAGCGTCGTTTTGTTAGGTTTCTAGCTCATAAATTTCACTTACCTTATTGTGAGTACTCGGTTGCTTGTACGGTTTGATTTCTCTGCCTCGCCGTAGATTTGTGAGGGACTTGAGTTTATTATATAAACTGGTTACCGGGCTTATTGATAATCCAGAACTCTTATTTTTAATTAGTTTTAATGCCCCGCAATATCGCACTCGCGATAGTTTTTTGTTTAGAATACCTCCTTCGGCGTCTAATGCGTATACTAATTCGCCTATCCTGCGCATATTAAATTGTTATAATAAAGTTTGCCAGTCGATTGATATTTTTAATTATTCTTTTGTGTCGTTTAAAAAGAAATGTATGTTGCTTCCCAACATTGACTGAAATGTTGAGGTGAAATTTACTTTTAGTTGTTGCTTTTGGATTGTATTTTTGTTTTTTTTCTTTCATATCTGTTTAGCTTTATAGTTTAGGACTTATTATGTTATATCTGTATTTTGTTTGTAAGATTAGTGGATGCTTTATTGGGGTAACCTGTCTGCATCCCGAAACGAATAAATAAAATAAATAAATAAAATAAAAAAGAGTACGGAATTTTCAAAAAACCATATCATCTGCATTTTTAAGGATCATGATATGATATATATGTTAAATTGAAGCTTAAAAGAAATTGTCAAATTTATAAATTAAAAATACGAAATTTTCAAAAAATTATATCATCTGTATTAGTGATGGAACGGATATCCGGCAACTATCCGGTATTTTTTTACTACATAATTGAGGTTGAGTTCAAAAATGATTATCTCAAAAATTAATTGAGATATTCAAGTGCGGCTTTGATTGTAAAAAAATATGTACTTTCTTCTACAAGATAGGAATGTTTCATAAAGATATCTTAAGAATTTGTGAAAAGGTAATTAAACTTAATTTTCTCAGTATTGTACTTTTGAAACTGGTTTTATTAATTAATTAAGTCTTACTAGTTTCGGCCCATGGCCATCCTCACAGACCAATTTTACAAGAGCTCACAAAAAGGTCATATCGCAAAGTATTATGTTCATAAATGTAATTATTTAAAAAAATTCTTTTAAGTTTAAGACGAAATAACAAGTTAACACGTTAAAATTGAAGAACGTTCTTCAATTTTAAGGTGTTAAGTTTCACATTCAATTTCATAACGTTCATTTTGAAGTGTGGTTTTATTTCCTAAAAATAACGCAGTTTCTTCTATTAAATAGCAATATTTCATAAAGATATCTTGAGAACTCGATTTTCCACGATTTTTTAAAATAATGTAAATAATTTTTTTACTACATAATTAAAGTTGAGTTAAAAAGAACGAATTGAGATATTCAAGTGCGGTTTTGTTTGTAAAAAAATACGCACTTTCTTCTATACGATGGGAATATTTCATAAAGATATCTTAAGAATTCGATTTTTAACGATTTTTTGATATAATGTAAAAGTTTTTTCACTACATAATTGAGGTTGAGTTCATATGGACAAATTTATATTAAATTGTTAACTTTTAACTTTGTATGTTGTAAGCATAAACGTTCCTTTACACCATGAATTAATTTTAATGATTAAATCATGGCCGTTTTGGTGAAAATAATTTTTTCCGTTTTGTTAACACATGTTTTGTCATTTCTAGGAAACATGATGCAACACGTTTCAAACGTCACCATAACCCAGTGATTCGCAAACTGTTTTCTTTCCATTTCTTTACGAATGATTTATATGAATATAATCACAAAATTTCTTTCTAAAAAGTCATTTTCTTCAACAATCCCAACAAAGTTTTCTCCCCAATCGATAATCCCAGCAAATTTTGGTGATATTCTTAATCTTAAAATGATTTTTTTTAATTAGTTTTAGAACCACTGAAGTTTTAACCAAACTCAGCTGGTACTCGCCACATTAAAATCAGTCTCTTATCCTCTTTTGTACGAAGTGGTCGTTTGACACATTCACGTGCTTTATTTTAGTTAAAGTGGTTGATTTTTGCAAGATGTTGGATAACCTCCCAGCGGAAATCCTCGAAATGATTCTTAATCAAGATTGTTTGGATTTTCCTGATTTAATCAACATTTCTTCGACTTGCTCATTGTTGCAAGGCTTTGTACTCAACAACAATAATCTTTGGAGGAGTTATTATCGCAAGAGGTGGTTTGAAATAGCAGAAAGATCCCCAAAAATTGATAATTACTTTGCCGAAGTTTCCTATATTTACAAAATACATCACGAGATTGATGGGATTTTAACCAGATTAACCTCACTTTGCATGCATAAAGAGTTACTACTCCCAGCTGATTTCGCACCATTTATCCACATGATCAAATCGAGGTGTTTAAACGCAGAGTATTTGGTGCATTATTTAAGAGAGATCTTAAAAGACCCATCACAAATTAAAACGTACGACGTGGTTCCGTTAAATACTCCAGGGAATTTAACGATTAAGTATTATAGTTTGGAAACGTTGTATTATTTGGGACTCGAGAATTTTAAAGTGCTTTGGGAGAAATTTATCTCGTTAGATGAAGATGATCGCATTTTGGAAATTGGTGCTGCACTTTTAATGAAATGGTCTAAACCACAATTTAATATTAAAGTGGGAAAAGTTCACAAAGAATTTGATGGAATAGCAGAGAAAGTTAAAAATTGTTTGAGAATTAATCACCCAAGACATCCTTTACTGAAAACGAACCAAGATGATTCAAAATTGTGGCGAAACAAGATCATTAAAGAGAATAAATTTTCTTTGATAAATTCCCAACAAATTTTGTCCACAATTACCCAAGTTATGTCCCAAAACGCTCTTGACAAAGACAATGATCCAAATTCATTTACTTTGGAAATGTTTGAATTAAAACCTGGATTCAAAATTACTCGCTTGGTCATTTTCGAGGGGGTTGCGCGACGATTGGGGGTCAAATTGGATTGGGTGAATGCCCCAGGTGGTTTTTTGTTGCGATTTATCCAACTTGATAACTCAGAAAGGAAAATTTATTACGTTGACGTTTCAAATGGGGGTAAACTCATTTTAGCAACTCACGGATCAATTACAAATCCAAATTCAATTCTTGATAGCGAATCAGTAAGTATTTCAATACACCTATCTTTATAACACATTAAAAAAATTTTTTAAGGTTCTCAAACGAATCATAAATGATTTAGCACAATCACCGCATCAAGACGAATCCTTAACACCTTCAATTTTAGAATTAAATCTTAGAACTCATCCAACCAATTTACAAGCAATGTTTGCGTTTAGTGCTTTTTACAGGAGATATAACATCGAAATACTCCCAGCAACAAATTTACGATATCTTCACAGAAATCCATTTACAAGTACCGGAAGTCATGTTTTCACCTATTTTCGTCACGATGGCTTTCCTCCTCATGGAATGTATCCAATAAATCCTCCTAAATCGCCCTCCACAAGGAATGGTAACGTTAAATTCGCTGTTGGAATGGTGATGAAGCACAAATTATACAACTACGCATGCGTGATTTATGGCTGGGATAATACTTGTGATAGAAAAGCTCCTTGGCAGCAAGAAATAACTTACGAACAGTTTAAATTGGGCCAACCCCAACCGTTTTATAAAGTTTTATTGGAAGATGGTAGCAAGAAATATGTGGCTCAAGGAAATTTGTTGCAGTGTGGGTTAAAGTGTGGGTTCGATAAGACTTTGAAACTTGGAAAGTATTTTACGCACTTTTTTAAGAACCAATTTGTGCCGAATTACTTTTTAAATGAGAAGTATCCGTATGATGTTGAAGTTAGGAAGCAATTTCAACTTTTGGGTTAGGTTGAAACAACGTAGTTTTAAATTATATATTTTTTTGAGTTACAATAATAACTTGTTGACTACAAAATTTCTTTTTTAATCATATTTTCCTGGAAATTTCAATAAAGCTTCAATTTAACATACATATCATGTTATAAATCTTAAAATTTCGATATTCAATAATTTCCAAGAGATTTCCATCATTTTGAACAATTATGAACACTTGCAAAAAAGTTTTTACCATTTAGGCAAGTTTCAAACGATTACAAACCCAATTTCAATGATATTGAACAATTTTGCAAAGCTGTAATCAGTTTTCAACCTCTTTGTACAGGTTGTACGAAACTGTAAGTTTTGTTTCAAAATGTTTTTTCTCAATATTTTTCCAATCCAACCTAACAATTATTATACATCATTTTAAAAAGAAAGCTTTGAGTTTTAATTTAAAATAAGTCTTATTCCTTTATTTCAATAAACACGGCTTCCAGGAATTTTTAAATTAGCATCTTTTTTGACACTTAGGTTATACTAAAATGTAAGTTTTACTTCAAAATTTTTTTTCTCAATATTTTTCCAATCTAACCCTGCAATTATTATACATCATTTTAAAGAGAAAGCTTTGGGCTTTAATTTAAAATAAGTCTCATTCCTTAATTTGAATAAACACGTCTTCCAGGAATTTTTAAATTAACATCTTTTTTGACACTTAGGTTAAACTAAAATGTAAGTATTATTTCAAAATTTTTTTTTCAATATTTTTCCAATCTAACCCAACAATTATTATACATCATTTTAAAGAGAAAGCTTTGAGCTTTAATTTAGAATAAGTCTCACTCCTTAATTTGAATAAACACGTCTTCCAGGAATTTTTAAATTAGCATCTTTTTTGACACTTAGGTTAAACTAAAATGTAAGTATTATTTCAAAATTTTTTTTATCAATATTTTTCCAATCTAATCCAACAATTATTATACATCATTTTAAAGAGAAAGCTTTGAGCTTTAATTTGGAACAAGTCTCATTCCTTAATTTCAATAAATACGGTTTCCAGGAATTTTTAAATTAACATCTTTTTTGACAATTTTAGGTTGTACGAAAATGTAAGTTTCACTTCCACATTTTTTTTCCCAATATTTTTCCAATCTAACCCAACAATTATTATATATCATTTTAAATAGAAAGCTTTGAGCTTTAACTTAGAATAAGTCTCATTCCTTAATTTCAATAAATACGGCTTCCAAGAATTTTTAAATTAGCATCTTTTTAGACACTTGTGGTACTTATTTTCTAACGTAATAAAAAATGTAGTATTTTTATATTAGCAATAAAAGTTTTTGTATACTCCAACATCACTAAAATATATTTTAATGCTTGACGGTACTCTCAAGTACCATTATCTCCCTGGAATGGGGGGACTGCTTGTTTATAAATAAAACTACTATTTTATCATATTTAATTGCAAAAAAGTCGAAAATTTTAAACGTAACATCCCATATTTGATTCGCTTATCTGATAGAGAATTTAATTCTCCACAAATTTTCTCTAAATGTCCCTATACCTATCAGTTGTGGTTTTTGAGATATTGCGGAATTAATCAAAATCATGCAAAAAATGGCAGATTTTGTTTATTAGTACTTAGTAGTTATATTTTTGAACACCTGTATAGGATAGATCGATATACCCAATGGCGCTCTATTTAAGGACATCCAAGTAGCAACTATACCAAATTTTGACTTTCTAACACGTTCGATCGTTGAGAACTTACGATTTAAAAGTCATTAAAAAAAGTTTCTAATTAAAATAACTCAAAAACTAAAAGCGCTAGGTGTCAATATGTCTTATTAAAATCGACGTATTTTTGTGTGTAGAATCAAAATAGGTAATAAAAACCATATCATTGCAATTAAAATAACAATGTTTATTTTGGTACGTCGATATGAAACACCATGTATGTATAAAAATATATTCGGTATTTTTACGGGAGTGTTGTTAGTTTCCTACAACTTCGATCTAAAGAAAAGTTTTTATCTCGGTTCATTTGTCATTTATGTACTTTGCCGCTTTCGTAGGACACCTGTATATATAGTCATAGTTACAGAAAGAATCGTCTAATTTTGACATTTTGGTGATTTATGCTACATCATTACAAGCTGGTGATAGATAAATATAATATAATTATGGATTATGATTTCTTGATGCATTAGCGACATTTTCTATTCAAAACGTCCTTCTCTATCAGTTTTAGTACATACGTTGTAGTTGATTTTATTAAGAAACATCGTCCAATTTTAACACTTTGGTGATTTATGCTATATCTTTACAAGCTAGTGATAGATAAATATAAAATAATTATAGATTATGATTTAATGATGCATTAGCAATGTTTTTTATTTATAACGTCTTTCTCCATCAGTTTTAGTACATACGTTATAGTTGATTTTATTAAGAAACATCGTCCAATTTTAACACTTCGGTGATTTATGCTATATCATTACAAGCTAGTGATAGATAAATATAAAATAATTATGGATTATGGTTTCTTGATGCATTAGCAACATTTTCTATTCAAAACGTCTTTCTCCATCAGTTTTAGTACGTACGTTGTAGTTGATTTTATTAAGAAACATCGTTCAATTTTGACATTTTGGTGATTTATGCTACATCATTACAAGCTGGTGATAGATAAATATCAAATTATTATGGATTATGGTTTCTTGATGCATTAGCAACATTTTCTATTCAAAACGTCTTTCTCCATCAGTTTTAGTACGTACGTTGTAGTTGATTTTATTAAGAAACATCGTTCAATTTTGACATTTTGGTGATTTATGCTACATCATTACAAGCTAGTAATAGATAAATATGAAATAATTATAGATTATGATTTAATGATGCATTAGCAATGTTTTTTATTCATAACGTCTTTCTCCATCAGTTTTAGTACATACGTTATAGTTGATTTTATTAAGAAACATCGTCCAATTTTGACATTTTGGTGATTTATGCTACATCATTACAAGCTGGTGATAGATAAATATGAAATAATTATAGATTATGATTTCTTAATACATTAGCAACGTTTTTTATTCATAACGTCTTTCTCCATCAGTTTTAGTACGTACGTTGTAGTTGATTTTATTAAGAAACATCGTCCAATTTTGACATTTTAGTGATTTATTCTATTTCATTAAAAGCTGGTGATAGATAAATATAAAATAATTATGGGTTATGATTTCTTCATGCGTTAGCAACATTTTCTATTCCTAACGGTTTTCTCCATCAGTTTTAGTACATACGTTGTATTTGATCTTATTAAGAAACATCGTCTAATTTTGACATTTTGGTGATTTATACTATATCATTACAAGCTGGTGATAGATAAATATAATATAATTATGGATTATGATTTATTGATGCATAAGCAACATTTTCTATTCAAAACGTCTTTCTCCATCCGTTTTCGTACATACGTTGTATTTGATTTTATTAAGAAACGTATTCCAACTTTAACATTTTGGTGATTTATGCTATATCATTACAAGCTGGTGATAGATAAATATGAAATAATTATGAATTATGGTTTATTGATACATTATTAATATATTTTATTCGTAACGTCTTTCTCCATCAGTTCTAGCACTTACGTTATAGTTAATTTTATTTAGAAAAATCGCCCAATTTCGACATTTTGGTGATTTATGCTATATCATTAGAAGCTGGTGATAGATAAATAGGAAATAATTATGAATTATGGTTTATTGATGCATTAGGAATATTTTTCATTCATTTTTTTTTATTTTACTTATATGTTAATAAGTTGGAACCATTTTCTTCATTTTTTTTTCATATTATCAGGAGTAGGTATGTATTTGTGGGTTTAGTTAACCCAAAGTAAGATAAACGTTAAATTAAATTTAGTTTATTTTAAAAATAAATTGAGTTTCCTTTTTATATTTTTGTAATAAAATTTTTGTCAATACAAGATTTACTTTTGAAGTTATATGAATACGTCTACGATATACGATATAACCTCTAAAAATACACAGCAAACGCATAGAACACAATAACAGCTGACTGGGCGTGGCAAATGGTGTGACGTAGTGTGCGGGCACGTTGTCACAACAATGAATGTAGCAGTCCTTTTAGATTCTACTGTCCTTGAGTTACACCCAACTAAAGAATACATCCATGCAATACAGCAAATGCCACGACCGTCCATAGCGCAT